ATAGCCCCCCCCCCCAAACCTTGCCACACAAACCCATAACAGTGATTTCAGCAGAAACTAATTTAAAAATTGCCTGTTTTAAAAACACAAGATACATAACTACCTGTTCTCTTTCTCACTTCTAGGCCTGTGCCATCCATGAAGTCTAAAATTTCAGGCTTTTGCCAATAATCCCAAGAGGTTAATTAAAAAACAGAAACTGGTAAAAATGGCAAACATCATCCAGCTTGCAAAAAAGTCAAGCTACTTGGCAAATGACAGACACGGGAATTTATTTTACCGGCTGTTAAAAGCCGCCGTCTCTAATGCAGAACGTAACCGTTACAAAAGTTTAAGGCAGGAAGTGAAGAAAATGTTTTGAAACACCTCAGATGATCTCTAGGCAGGCAGAATCTTGCATCCCCCTTCACTGGAAAACAGCCAGGGCACTATGGTTAGCAAGTGTGCTCTTGCGAGGGCTGCGGTAAAATCTCTAGTGACCACAGGTGCTTCTGCCTTTGCTTTCCCAGCCCGGCGAAGACACGCAGCCCTAGTGCTGGGCGAAGGAGGAAGCTGATACGAATGCTGTTCAGTTAGAGGCCAAAATATCAGAGTGATGAATGTGCTTTGTTCTGTACTGTGTGTGCTTATTTGTTCCTTCACGTGCTGATGGTTGTGAAAAAAATGTTTAACTTCGATTGGTTTTGATTAAATGTTGGGTTCTAAGATAGCTTTCTGCATGCAGCTACATACAGGGCCAGGCAGTAGAGTCAGCCTCCTCCCTGTTAGTATTTTATTTTTATTCTAAGCAAACAGAGTTTGTTTCTCAGCAGGATCACTGGCTGGCGTTCCAGTGAATAGGTGGAGCTTCAAAGTAGCGTACGAATTGTGAAGGTGCTCGGAGGTCTCCACGAGGATCAGGCCCAAGTGGTACTGCATGCCACGCGCACACACGAGGCACAACGCTTCCTGTGAGCTGACAGTTTAACGTTTGTAGCAGTTATATGTCCCTCAAATGTGTATCCCAAAAATTGGCTAGGGAAAAGATTTCAAACTTCTAAAGAGATTTAAAAACTGACCCCAGGACAACTAATAAGTGTAATGCCACCTGACAGCGAGTACAGTTTTGAGATATTTGGAGTGCGCTCTGCAAACACATGGTGTTAGCAAAACAATTGTTCGTTTTGGAACAAAGGCGGCTGAAAAGCTTTTTAATTAAAAGTAGGATTCCTCCCATTTTATTTTCTGTGGTTTGCTGATTAAATGCTTATGCTCTATCAATTCTTCTCTGATGTCCAGAATTCAGTGAGAGCATGTTTAGGCCAACATCCAACACATGCAAATTCTGTTCTCCTCCCACAGTCTCCCGTTTACTAATGATGAAAGTACTACCACCAGCACGTATTC